GGGTAACCATTATCACATTTGACACATCAGTGTCACAGTGTTCAGCTTCACAGCAACCACAAGTTACCTTTGTACAGCAAGTGGACAGACTAGAAGATTGTTTGACCAAAAACAATTAAAACCAGGCCTGAGGGCCACAGATTAAAGTCACCACCTTTGGCTTGGTAGCAGCACTTTCTGTCCACAAGGCCCACTAAGCTCTGGAAGGAATTACATTGCAGATATTCTTTATCAACTTGATTTTCTAATTTGACAATAGAGGTGTCTTCCCATGTCATTATTTGTGACTGTCCCACATTCTTTTTAATGATAGCACTGTGTTGTTGTGTACCGTTAAGTCAGAACTGAACCATGCTGTTAACTGTATGGGAGGAGATTGTCCACCCTTCTTCCACAGAGCAGCTTGAAGATTTGAACCTTGTGCCTTTGGGATTGCAGCACAGATTCTTACCACTAAGCCACCAGAGTTCTGTATCCACTACTTAAAATATACTAGAACTTACTTAGCTAGGATCCATTTGATGGTTGATTAGGCTTTTCTGATTTACCCTCCAGTGTTTCACACTGATCTATTCATATGACCTGTATGGGTTCTAGCATTGATATGTCTGTATGGTCCACTTCATACTATATAAAACATATTATGATTAATTCAAATAAATATTATCAATACACTCTGGTGGCTTAGTAGGTAAGGAGTTATGCTCCCAACCCAAAGGCAGGCAGTTTGAATCCACCCGGTGATCCACAGTAGAAAGGCAGGAAATATCCCTCTATATACCATATCAAACATACTAAAATTATTTCAAATTTATACTACTAAAAATATTTCTTGCACATGTATGTAGAATGGAGCTCTTGTGGTCTAGTGGCAAGAAGCTATGCTGCAATCCTGAAGGCAAACAATTCGAGGCCACCAGCAGCTCTGCGGAAGAAGGGTGGGCAATCTCCTCCCATGCGATTAACAGCCTCTGAAAACCGTCTGAAGGAGCGGCTATGGATCCAACTGCACAGTACAAGACAACAACATGTAGATATTTTTAAAAGATTCCTAGAATTCTGAGATTCCTTAGCTTAAAGTAGTGCATTTTTAAACCAATTGACTATGACATGTTCACAGGGTCATTAAAAGTCATGGTTGATCTGGGAAGCTGGGCTGTTTGAAGAAGAATATGGCATTAGGATTGGAGGAACAACAAGCTACAGTATGAAGGCCACACAACCTTGCTTGCTGAAACTGAAGACTGAAGTACTTCCTGATGAATTGAAAAAGTATAACTTTCAGTATAGATTATACCTCCGCATAAAGAAAACAATGACCCTCAAAACTGGATTTACAAACAACAGTGTGATAAAGAACAGAATGACATAGAGGATTTAATTTTACTTGGATCCACAGAAGCAGCAACCAAGAAATCAAAGCTAAAAATGCGGCGAGTGTGCTGCAAAAGATCCCCTTACAGTGTGAAGGAGCAAAGAAGTCACTTGGAGACCAAGGGGCATGCAAACCAAATCATGGTATATTCAGTTACCTCATATGCATAACAAAACTGAACAGTGTATATAGAAGCCCATAAAGAACAGATGCATTTGAAAGATGGCGTTGGTAGAAATTTGAGTGAGGCAAGAAGAGCAAATAAATCTGTCTTGGAGAAAGCACAGCTAAGAACACGCTTTAGAAGCGAGGATGGCAGGACTTCATCTCCTGTAACAGTCCTTAAATAATACCACACTTGGTAAAAGAGAGAATCAGCGAAAAAGAAGACCTCCAGTGGGATGGGTTAACACAGAGGCTGCACCAATGGGTTCAAGTACAGGAAAATTATTATGAAGATGGAGCAGGACCAGGCAGTGTTTTGTTCTGCTGTCACTGTGAGTCCGTGGTCACTAACGACAGTAGCAACATGCTCTCTGGGCAATCATTGTGCAATCTCTTCTCTTTTGAACTTTTCACTGTGGTTTGGGTGTAAGTTTACAGAGAGAATTAGCTTTCCATTCCATTTATACACATCACTCCGCGCCTTCTTGTGAAGTGAGAAGCAATTGTTTTCATATGTAATGAAACATTAATGAATGTTAACATTAACAATTAATGAAACTCACATCATCTCATTTGTGGATATTTATTTAATCATTTATTCATCTTGGATTTTTCTATCTTCAATTTGTATATTTTAGAGAAAATGATTTTTCTCTCCAACTCTGAAATTTGTTTGTGGACCCTGGGGACAGCTTGTGGACAGAGGCAACGGCCACTGGAGCCAGGGGAATGATGTCCTTGGAAGTTGCCATGACCAGCCCTGGCCATCTTTTCTGAGGAAAATGGGCTAAATCTCCAACCCTCCCTTTGATATTTATTCTCCAGGACAAGCTGGGATCACAGATGGGTTTGGATTCTGTCCCTGTCATGGGCTAGATCTTTTATGTGTTCCTTATAAAGCAATAAAGTAAGGCAGTCAAACAAAATTATTCAAAAAAGACACTGAGCAAAACCCTTCTCAGTTAGATCCAAGCCTTCTACCCTGTGGTGTCAAGTGTATTTAAACTTTTGGTTGTGGCTAGACTTGGGTAACACTTCTTCTGTGCTTAGTACCTTCTTGGGGCTTCCCACTGCTCATAAGATGTCATAAGATGAGGAGACAGCTCTTGCTGTTTCCTTCTGGGGCTCTCTCATCACTTGGCCACCCTTACCATATCCTGGTACTTACTATGCACCACAGGGCATTTGCACACACAGTTCTACCATCAGAGGGCCTTTGCACACAATTTGCATACATGATCCTTCCACCACAGGAATTTTGTACACACAACTTTTCTTTGCAGGGCCTCTTGCATGCACAGGGCCCACCATAGGGCCTTTGCACACACAGCCCCTTCCATCACATACTATAAGGTCTTTGTGTACACATGATCCTACCACCACAAGTTCTTTTGCAAATGTTTTTCCCTCTCCCTGTTCACCTAGTGAATGGTGATTTGCCTTTCAAGACTCATCCTCAGTGTCACCTGCTTCGAGACACCTTTCAACTCCTCATGTCAGTCAGGTGGCTCACGGGACACCACGTTTCTCTTCTGCCTGGTGGTGTCACAGTTGTTGACCACATCATACTTGGTTTTCTGGAATTCTTTAGCTAATGTTTGTCTTACTGAAAAAATGGTGAGTTTGGGGACATGGCAGCTAGCTTGCTACAGTATTCCTCAAAATAAGTCTCATTCTGAGCTTCATTTCACAGATGGGCATGTGTAGTACATTGAGATCAACCCTCTGCTCAGCATTGTAGTACATGTACTCCTTCATGTAAGTGGGTGGCGGCTGCG